GACCTTTTCGTCTTGTAAAATCATCTCCAAAGAGTAAGGTATTTCTGCTTTGAATTTATCAGGAACTATTCACAATCGAATAACACGAACTTTCAAGTTCTAATGCATTGATTTGGATGTAATTTCTGAGATTGTGTTAAATTGCAAAGCCACTTATTGTTGAATATAGGAGAACAATGTAAAGTTATGTAAAGTTATTACTGAAAATATCTATATATAGTACGTGACTTTCAAGATGCAGTGAAAAATGTAGTTAAAAATTCCTTGTTTAGTGGATGGTTATTGAGAAGTTATCTTAAGGAGTTATAAAACTGCCTTATTTGTGTTTATCTGTAAAAATATATTTATTTTTTGATATAAATATTAAATACAAAATACTGATATATTTAGACTCCTTACGTAAAATATATACTCATTTATAATAAATGAGTATATTAAAAATGATAAAATTGTGAATCCAATTTTCCTTGATTAAATGATTTATAAAAAATGATTATTTAAAATTATATGTAGTTACGTATAAGTAAATGGGTCTAAATCTAAAATATCTAAAAAGCTAAAATATTCTAAAAAATTGTGGTATTGTAACTACCGTATAATTACATAATGGATCTAATTGTAATTATTGATATGTTTCAATATTTATTTAAATAATTATTTATTATTGATTATTTAACATTTAAAATTCAAAAAATTGTGGTAATGACATGTGTCATTTTTCTTCTCCTTTTATATATAGATAGATTCTTATTTTTCATTTCTATTATTTTAAAATTTTTTATTCAAAAAGTTTATTTTTTCTTTTTATATTTCATTTCCTTCTCATTCTCAACCTTTACTTCAAGTAATTCCATGCAATTTTTCGTATTATCTATTTTTTATGTCATGCTTATTTTTTTTATTGGCATAATGTTGATAGTATTCTAATTTTTAAAATTAAAGTAGAATTCATTGTTGGCTAAGGTTATAGACTTACGTTTTCCTTTTATGTTGAAATTTGACAAAAGACTAATTTGTTTTGAATTTAGAATTTATGTTATATTTTCAGTTTCATTTGTTTTAGTAGTATTGACTTGAGACTTCACATTGCAAGTCATTTATTTTTTAGTTAGACTTGATATATTATCTTTTTGTCAAATATTTTAATAATTTATGATATTTTATTTATAATAGTAATATTTTTGTCAAGCATGCATTTCATGATGTTCATAGAAATCTTGTACTTTTAGTTTTTATGATTTAATTTGAAAACTATAAATCAATTGTTTTCTCATAATATTTTTTAAGAACGTATGGTTATTAATTAATATATTTTCAAAACACAGTATATATCTTAAATATTTAATTTATCATTTATAAAGTTTCTTATCTATTAATATAAATATTAAATATAAATTTTTATTTTTAAAATCCAATTAGTACATGAAGATAATTAGTAGGTTATGTAATTAGCAATTACTATCCTAATAATTACACCAATTCTAATTAACAAGTGAGTGCATCTTTGATTTTTCTTTAACCCAAATAATATTTAGATTTTAAAAATGCCATTTGCTTTCTCCCTGACATTGTTTTTGCATAGCAAGAGAAAAGTTAAAAAGTTAATGCTTTTAAGGTCATGTAGATAGATATGATTAATTTATATGATTTTGACGTAATATTTTTCAATCAAATGAGACAGAGAATCTTAAATTTAAAAAAACTCATAATTTCTGAGAAAAATAAAACGGTTCGCATAACAATAAGAGCTCAACACTTCCTTATCATCTGTATGTTGTGTTGACTTGAAAGGAAATTACTTCGTTATGATTTCTCAAACATGCAGAGTACTATTTCGGAGCAAAATTTGTGATCGGCCTTCCGTTAGTAATTGTATTTCTGGTGATCAAATTCAAAAGAAGGCATTTGTCCATGTATGATACTATTGAAGGCTTTTTGCGAACACAAAATAATTTCAAGCCAATCAGATATAATTACTCCCACGTAAAGAGAATGACCAGAGGGTACAAAGAGAAATTAGGTGAGGGAGGTTACGGCAGTGTATACAAAGGAAAGCTTCAAAGTGGAAGAGATGTAGCAGTGAAGATGCTGAACAAGCCTAAAGCAGGTGGTCAAGACTTCATGAATGAAGTAGCTACCATTGGAAGGATCCATCATGTCAATGTGGTTGGACTCGTGGGGTATTGTGTTGAGGGAACAAAGCGTGCTCTTGTTTACGATTTCATGCCCAATGGATCACTCGACAAGTATATCAGCACTAGTCAAGAAGGAAGTCCTCTGTTAAGTTGGCAGAGGAAGTATGACATTATTCTTGGAGTGGCTCGTGGAATTGGGTATTTGCATCGAGGCTGTGATGTACGGATTTTGCATTTTGACATCAATCCCCATTTTGACATCAAGCCACACAACATTCTTTTGGATGAGAATTTCATTCCAAAGATTTCTGACTTTGGGCTTGCAAAATTATATCCAACAGATAATAGCATTGTGAATCTCACAGCTGCTCGCGGAACGATTGGCTATGTAGCTCCAGAATTGATCAGCAGAAGCATTGGAGCAATCTCTTACAAAGCTGATGTTTACAGCTTTGGAATGCTGCTAATGGAAATGCTGGACTTGAATAGACATGAAGTTGCAAATGAAGAGAATTCCAGCCAATATTTTCCTTATTATATTTACGATAAGTTCAACAAGGGGAAGGAGATCCTGGTGGATGAAGAAGCAAATGATGATGAAAAGAAGATGGCTAGAAAGCTGAGTTTAGTTGCATTATGGTGCATACAAACAAATCCAATACAGCGCCCTTTGATGAGTAAAGTATTAGAAATGCTTGAAGGTGAAGTTGAAGTGCTAGAAGTACCTCCTCAGCCTATTCAATCTCAACCGATTGTTCATCAGATGATGGGAAGTTCTATGACTTTTTCGTCTGATTCAATGGCTTTGTTAGAAAATTCTGTCAAAGTAGACATTTGTTCTGATTGATTATAGTTTTGTATTGTTCATTTAAAATGACATATATACGAGAAGGGATTCACATTTTACGAAGGGTCAGGTCTGAGTTGGTCCGTCTCATTCACTGCGTTCACGCTGAACAAATACACATGGACATAATTAAAAGTTATTTTCAACCTTAAGACTTCATCACTCGATTTTGGGGATTGGGATTATAGTTTGGGGTTATTTTAATGGGGTTTTGTTGGATTTCTTCGTGAAGCATATATCTAACCTTTTAATTAAGCTTTTCTCGCGATTCTTATCATCAAATTAGTGATTTAAATAGTGTTTTAAATTGGGGATTTGGGGATTTTACCCCAAAGTGAGATTGATGTGATTCTTTCTAAGAATATCAAATTTAGTTCATGAAATATAAATCACATAATTGGTCCAAACTTTGCACTTGCATTAAGAAATTATTAGCATATAGGACTTAAAAATGGACATTTTTTTTTTATAGTTTATAAAATTTTAAGGAAAATATTTCAGTCTTTTAAATTAGTAAAAGGCCAAAAAATAAAATAAATATTGAGGCATAATTTTTTTGGAAGAATAACTTAATTCGTATAATTATTTTAATAAAACTATAAGAAAAATGTTAAAATAATTGATAAAAATAAATAAATATCAATGCTAGATTAGAAAAGGTGTCACATTACATTTTTATTTTAGCTATTATTAAATATAAATAACTTATTTCTTTTAATAAATAAATAATTAAAAAGTTATTTAAGGAAATGATATAAATAATATTAGTTATGAAATTAAGGGAAGAAAGTAAAAGAAGATAATAGCATTGATGATGAAATCATTCAAATATGATCATCTTTTCTTTTAAAATTAGAAAAAAATGCCCAAAAAAACTATCAAAATATAATTAGAATTTCAATCATAGTGTATATAAAATAAACTTTAATTAAAGACACATAAAAAATATTAAGACAAAATAAATGAAGAAAAGAAGTAATAGAATAATTAAGTTTGAAAGAAATAATATCAAGGAAAGGAATTAATAGAATAATTAAGTTGAAAGAAATAATATCAACATTTATTTCGTTTCCTTTCAAATCACAAAACATATTTTTTACATATTCTTCTCCTAATTTGATATGAATTCCATAAATAGATGGATTCTTTCTCCAAATAATTGTCTTACCCTTTGATACATTAATCACTCTTCTTATAAATTTTTCAACAAAATTAATCTTTTCTCTCAATATAACATTTCTCCTACCAATATCTTTGGAAGCATCATAATGTACTTCTTTCTTTCTCTTTTGTTAAAGAAATCCCAAGGCCTAGAAATTTGATGTCCGTATATTCTTCTTTACCAAAGTAGTTTTTTTCTCTGAATATAACATTTCTCCTATCAATATATTCGGAAGCATCATGATGTTCTTCTTTCTTTCTCTTTTGTTAAAGAAATCTCAAAGCCTAAAAATTTGATGTCCGTATATACTTAAATATGTTTATTTTATAGGCTAAATGATATAAACAGCTATGAAAAATGAAAAGTTTTTGGTCTTTTCTTGTTCCATTTACTTAAATGTATATTATTTTGAGGGAAGTTTTAAAGAATATAATTAATTGGGTAGTTCATTCAAATGCTTTCAGTTATTTTTAAAATACAAATAAAAATTAGAAAACAAATATAAAACTTCAAAAAAAGGAGATAAAAGATAAATAGAAATGCTAGCCATAGAGAGGTGCCTCATCAGATTGTCTATATTCAGCTTTATATATATATATAACTTGATCATTGAGCATAATTTAATGGAATACATAAGATCATTCATTATCAATTAAGTTAGGTAACTATAGAAAATCAAAAGTTTTATTGTTGGAGACGAAAAGACTTAAAACTATGATACAATAACATTTACAATATGATATGTTACACTTTCCTCTAATGCTTCCCCTAATGGAGAGAGTTGTACATATTCTTGGTTTATGAATTCATTTATATAAGTTGATCATTGAGCATAATTTAATGGAATAGATAAGATCATTCATTATCAATTAAGTTAGGTAACTAAAGAAAATCAAAAGTTTTATTGTTGGAGACGAAAAGACTTAAACTATGATACAATGTTCTTTCCAACTTCCAAACAACAGCTACGTACAACCATTGTTACGAGATTCATACATACAAGTAGAAAAAAACTAAGAAAAAGAATGAACAAAAATTACACAAGAAAATGTTTTGTTGAGAAAACATTGTATTCTAAATTACTACATATTTAGATAATATGCTATAATAAGTACTCCCTCCGTCCCATTTTATATATCACCTTTTTACTTTGCACTTGCATTAAGAAATGATGTAATTTCACCCTTCTATCCTTATTTAATTTTTTTGGAACTCAAGTTTTCAATCAATTAATATGAATTAATTTATTTTGATTAATTCATTTAACCAATGAACATGAATCATTTACTTAATTTTTCTAAGTTGGTTAAATGTATGTTTTCAATGCTAATTATAACTCACAAGGGTAAAAAGGAACCATATGTTGATTTATGCATTGATTTTATGAAATGACAAGTATTATGGACCAACTATTTATAGAAAGGGATGACATATAAAATGGAACGGAGGAAGTATTTGATAGATGAACAAATATAACATGTAGAAGCTTCAATCAAACTAATAAATGTTGGAATGTGAAAAGGTTGTATTCTAATTAATATTGAGGAAATTTGCCCCTCCACTCAATAAAAAATTATTAAACATCTAATTAATTGAATATTAAATAAAAAGCATATCATATAGTAAATGTTCAAAGTAGGAAAGTATTAAATCAAAAAATGAAAGACGAAAATGTCCATAGAAAGTTGCTAGACATTTTTACCCCTTTTTAAAGACTTAATTAGTTATTCTATATTTAATCATATCATATTGTATTAGCTTTTATCATCAACGCCGAATTACAAGTTCACCATTGCGATAAATCAAAATATCATAAAACATTTAATTAAATATATTCTAATTAATGATGATAGCATTGCATATTTCAGCAAGATGATAATTGTTATGCATTTGTGTGGTGGTGTGTTTCTTTTCTTTTCCTTCTATTTCCAATAGACGGAACATTTTGAGAATAGAATATGACATATCAAAGAGACTAATGACTTGCTACTTTTCCCTGTGGAAGATTAAAGGTTGAGCTTTCTTATCTCCTGTCCTCTAGCAAACAAGGTAGACTGATCTAGTCCACATATTCCATGACATGATTAGGATTAATATGCCCAAAATGACTTGTCAATGAATATCTATCAAATCCAACCACCCTCAGTTAATTTGACCTAGTCAATAATTTTCCAAGTACAGGAACTCAGGAAGGTGTGTGGAAAAGTCCGCTCCACAAACTGAATAGTTTCAAAGAAAAAGATATTGAGGTTTTAGAAATGTTGCCAATCATATATAGTAAGTACTAAACTACTAGTGATTAGCATCAAACTATATAATTCAAGTAAGAGTTTTGGAAATGTCCATCTTACTTTTCTTGGTATTTTTCCCATTGCTTAGCTTAGGACACACACTAGAGGGTTGTGAGGATTCTTCGTGCAATAATGATGGTCCCGTCATTCATTTCCCATTCAGACTCAGTCATCAACCAAAACATTGTGGCTATGATCTTGGCTTTGAACTACACTGTAACAATAAAAAAGACACCATCCTTGAGCTTCCCTCCTCTGTTCACTTAGTTGTTGAAAAGATTGATTATGTCTCACAGCAAATTCACCTTTATGATCCTGAAGAGTGCATAGCAACCAAGCTACCAAAACTGAATTTGTCACAATCTAATTTCACAAATGATGACTATCCCACAGACCTATTCAATTGTTCTGCACCATTCTCAGACAATAATTATGGTTATTACTTGGTTCCATGTCTTAGTTCTCCTGGTTACCAAGTACATGCTGTTACTTCGACTTCAAGACTTCAATACTTCTTGTATGGGCCTTGCACAAAAATTCATCAGTACCCATACTCACATTCAACATTTGGTGAGAACAAGCTGCAGCTGAATTGGCTTATACCACTCTGTGGAAACTGTGAGTTCAAAGGAATGGATTGTGGTTTCAAGAATGGAACAAAGCTATCAGAAACTCATTGTTTCAATCGAACTATGACCCATAAAGGTACTATTTGTATGTCTTAAATTTTCGTTTAATTTTTTCCATCATTGATAAAAAAAAAGCACTTAACCTACACTTAAATTTTGTCCGTAAATAGGTAACACTAAGCAGCCCTTGATTGCAGGTTAGTATTATTAAGTTCTCACTCTCTCAGTTTCCTAATTGATTTTCCTTTATGATTATGACATGTTATTTATTCAATTATTGTAGGTGTAGTTTTAGGTACAGCGCTTGTTTGCATTATTGTCTTCTCACTTTATCAGCTATATTTGACAAGTAGAAATGAAAGAGAGAGTCGAGTTAGACTTGAAAAGTTTTTGGATGACTACAAGGCCATCAGACCAACGCGATATTCTTATGCTGATATTAAGAAGATAACAGATGATTTTAATGAAAAGTTAGGAGAAGGGAGTTATGGAACTGTATACAAAGGCAGACTTTCCAGTGAAATCTATGTTGCAGTAAAAGTCCTACGCGATTCCAAGGGTAAAGGGGAAGAATTTATCAATGAAATTGGTACAATTGGGAGAATACACCATGTTAACGTGGTCCGCTTGGTTGGTTTTTGTGCTGATGGATTCAGACGAGTTCTGATCTACGAATACCTACCAAATGATTCACTTGAAAGGTTTATTTTACCAGTGAGCTCAAACCTGGGTAGTGTCTCACTCATCAGCTGGAACAAGCTTCAACATATTGCTCTGGGTACTGCAAGAGGGATTGAGTATCTTCACCAGGGATGTGATCAGCAAATCCTACATTTCGATATCAAACCACAAAACATCCTTTTAGACCACAACTTGAATCCCAAAATATGTGATTTCGGCCTAGCCAAACTGTGTTCTAAAGAAAAAAGTGTGGTCACTATGACAGCTGCTAGGGGAACCATTGGTTACATTGCACCAGAAGTGTTAATCAAGAAACTTTGGTAAAGTTTCTCATAAGTC